CGTTTACTTGAAAATACATGTTTTATTTTATTGCCCATTTCATGCAAAAATATATTATCAGCATTTGGCGTCCTTATTCAAGGAGGGGCAGGGTGTCTTATCTGCTGAATAATTGTAAGAATGACTTTATGGAGAATGTGGCAAGATTTTTGAGTGACGCCATGAAATTATGTCACCATAGGTCCTAAGAACCATTTTCATACCTCACAATGTCTGGACAGTTTTATCCTAAAGTATCTCCTACTATGTTTCATTAACTGTGTTGTGATTTGATCCATGTATATGATGCACTTTTCCTATGCTAATAAAGGAGATTGGTTGACCTTAAAATACAGACTAAAAAATAAATAAATCTACCCTTTCAACTCCCACTGTCCAGGAAGAGGCCAAAGACAAAGGGTGTGTTGGGGAAAATAATTGATAAAAGACCCCAATTAAGCTACAGACCTCTGCTTGGAAGTATGCAACATCTGTTAACTCCAGTCTCATCTGGCTAGCTAAGGCTCACCCAGAATTCCACATGAGCTCCTGTCCATGCAGCTTGGATTAAAGAAGAAAATAGGTTGTTTCCTTGTTTGGACTTTAGAGCCACTCAAGAGCATAGAGTTGTCAAAGCTCATGGAGTAGCCATAATCCTCAGTAGAGACCTGTATTTTAAAGTCACAAAAGTGCTGAAAGACAAAAGAGGCAGATTCATTTTTGCTAATGGAATACTAGGTGGCAAAACAAAACTGAAAATTGGCTCCATATATGCCCCAAACTCAGAACATTTGAAGTTCATCCAAAAAACACTCTACGCTTTACACTCCTGTCTAGAACCATTTCAAGAAGTACAGTGGTACCTCGGGTTAAGTACTTAATTCGTTCCGGAGATCCGTTCTTAACCTGAAACTGTTCTTAACCTGAAGCACCACTTTAGCTAATGGGGCCTCCTGCTGCTGCCGCGCCGCCGGATCACGATTTCTGTTCTCATCCTGAAGCAAAGTTCTTAACCTGAAGCACTATTTCTGGGTTAGCGGAGTCTGTAACCTGAAGCGTATGTCACCCGAGGTACCACTGTATAAAGATGTATTCCAAGGGAGGGAAGCCTCAGGTCCAAATGCAGCACCCAGTCTTTTTCCTCTTGAGGTATCAAGACTCTCCCCAGACCACCTCCCTCGCCAGTCCTTCGTCACACCTGCTTTGGGCATCTTTGCCTGGATGGGATGTGGCTCTAGCTCTGACAATGTTTTTGCCTTTGATGCAAAGGTAACATTCACATTAATTGCTCTGTTCATTTTTGCCTCTGGCACCCCCACCCCCTTTTGGCATATTGCTCCCAGGAAGTTATTTAGAAAGAAATGTAGCCTTCCGGCTATGAAAAAAAGATGCCCGCCCCCCATCCCTGTTTTATCCAGAGTAGCATTAATAACAAAGGAAAACAGGGTGGGCAGGCAGGAATTGTGTAACAGTGGACTAGTTCTTGGACCTCAAGAATCCATGTTTTATGTAAGCTGTTGCTTTGTCTTAGTGTGTCAAAGGAGCTTTTGTGGTTTATTTTAGGTTGAATACTGTAATTTTTGTGTCAAACTACTGGGAACTCACAAATGGATAAAAAAACATAAGTGCATTTTGGAAACCCTGTTACTAACTGAGCTTTTATGCATTTATTTAGGGATCTGCAGACCCCTTTACTTAAAAATCCAAGCTCATAAAATACAAAATCCACCCAGTTCACAAATAAAAATAAATAAAATATAAGTAACACATATATAATGGGGAAACTGATCTATTTACTTTTTAACATTTATATACCACAAACATACCAATTCCAGGGTGGTTTACAACCTTAAAATACAGTCCAATAAGCAAAATTAAACACACCCATCAATTCAGTAATCAGAACTATTCTCACAGCTAGGGATCAGTAACCCCCATCCCCACCCCACTCCCAAGGCCTAGGGTGGATGTTTTCTCAGGTGAGTTTCACTGAATGTTATTCCATACAGTGGGTCTGGCAGGTCTATGGAGAACTGATCTCATCTCCTGAAAGGAGGGGCCTCTTTGCAGAGCCTCTCTCAGTTATCAGAATGAGTGAAAGGCTCTCGTAAAGAAAAGACACTCTCAGTTATTAAACTGCCATGAATTTCTCAGTTATTGTGGATGATAACAGAAGAAGAAGCAGATGATCCCTGACTTGTAGGACTAGCGGGTAAATCAGCAGGAAACTGCTCAAGAAAGCAAGTTCAGGAAACAGTAGATCACAGAGGGGATCCCATGCTATAAACCACACTGCCAGAGAAAAGATTATTTTAGATTCCGCTATACTACATTTATAAAGCAGGGTTTCCAGATCATGTGCAGACTCCCAAACTGTGTTTTTGTAAGGAATCCCCACAAAAGTAGTTTACTATTTATTTTCAAGTGCAAACATCCACAATCTCTCTCCTCTTTTTTAAGTGAGTCTTGTTCAAAAGACATCCTGCTAGTTCATTCACAAAGAGCTTTTCAGAAAGAGCAGCAAGTGCATGAGTAAAACATCATTGGCTTCTAGTAGGAAGAAACAAGTGACCTACTAAATCCGAAACTGACCTCTTATTTATAGGCTATATAAACAAGTCTACAAGGGCCCACCCCTTTCACAATGCTCTTTTTGTGCTCCTGCCACCATTAAATCAACCAGAATGATAGTGCCTCAAAGGGTGAATGAATTACCAGACTCATCCGAGGGGGTGGGGGGGAACCAACACAAAAGGATAGCAACAGAAGAGACAGATAAAGAATGTAGCTCCCAAATCCCATTTACTGGACCTATGGGCCATCTCCTGCAAAGGGCCAAGAAAATGCTCAGTCAATCTTTTGCTCAGATTCCTATAAATTGGCATTCGTCTGTCTCGAGAGACAATGGAGTGTGCCTCCGGGGTGAAGTGAAACCACTGTGTTAGCAGCAGTGAAGTGACCTTCCTGGAGCACAAGCCTGGGCAGTGGAGGTCCTGGGATGCCCAGACGACAAGATCCACCTGCCCACCTCCCCCCAGCCTCACTGATGTGGTCTAAAGGAAAGCACAGAAATACATTTGGTACCAGCTTGGCTACAGGAGTTGCCAGAAGGTGGCATACTGATTTAGCCAGCCAGTTGAAGACATTCCTGGAGTGTGGCCGTTGTCACATGCTGATAGGATAAATATTCCTTAATAACCCCATAAGATAACTGAATGAAATCCAACCTGCCCCCCCCAATCAAACTACCACTGTGTCAAGAGCACTACTCTCTCCGTGTTTGAACCCTGCAAAGGTTCCTGTGTTCAGCCCTGGTGTCTCGGGGGGGGGGGGGCTGGAGAAGTGTTGTTCTGGTACCTGGTTCTTACAATCTTCACTTAAATATGACTTCTAACATTTGGAGAATGGGCATAGAAGGTCCCAGATTTTAAAATGTTGTATGTGGATTGGCCCTAAGAGCGCAGGTCATAACGGCAAAAAAATCAATAAAGGAAAACAAAAAAAAGATAGAAATATTACAAAATAAAATATTGATTATCCCTCAGGGACCAATCATCACAATTTTGTATATCTCACAAACTGAACAGCCCAGTTACATTGGTGTCAAAACTGATTTGATGCTGTTTTGCTAATGCCAAAATGCAGATGCTTTTTGTATTGCATCCTCCTTATTGTCTGCGAACAAAGAGTCAATTTTTGGCACTTTGAGCAGTGCTCACATTCCATAAATAATAAGATGAGAAATTTACACTGCACATTTTGGAGAAAGGGGCAATTAAATAGATAGTGGGGGAATTGCTTTTGTCATCCTTTCTCCACAAATACAACGACAAGAATCGAGAATTATGTTTATTCCTCATCCAATATTGCAAAGAAATTTACTGAAACAAGAAGAAAAAGAAACATTCTTCTCTTTTTAAACATAGCTTTTTAGTCACTATGCAACTGGGTTTAACACCAAAAGCAAAATTCTATCCTGAATTATTACACAACAAAAGAGCTGGTAATTGTCATTTTGTGCAAAGAACAGTAGAATATATTCCACTGTAGAGTCCTAAACATGAGGTTTTACAGCTGAGGAGATCAGTTGGCTGGAATCTTCAGTGACTGCAGGGCGAACAAACCTCAGAATTAGCTACTTGTTTTCTTTTCTGTTTTATTCCCAAAGGAAAAGGAAGCTCAAAGCCAAGTAGAGAGAAACACATGCATGCTAATCTGTACAAGAGATAAAACACTTCCTTTGTAATCTTGCGTTGCTTGATTAGCCAAACTACAATTCTTGTAATAGCTGCAGCACTAACAAGAGGCATATTAAAAAGGTATGGAGCATTAAGCACCGGATTTTGCATCAGTTTTGTTGGTTTTATATCAGTTCTCTTCAGTACAGACACTTCGAATAAGCTTTCCTAAATAACATGGACTGTACATCCAAAACAGTTAAGTGCTGCAGTAATATTCTGCCATAAAGCAACATCACTTTAACATGGGAGTTAAAATGCTCCTTTTCCAGGAAAAACTCGCTCTTTAGTGCTAAATCGGAGCAAACACCAATCCAAATAAAACCCAAATTGCTGTTTGTTTCAACTGAGTAGTATAGAGCAGTTTTCAATGGGTAAAAGAGGAAAACCACTTGGACTCGTGTTTTCTAGGCAAAGAACAAGTGGAAGTGTGGACAAGCCCTAAGAGGAGAGATGCCTAAACAAAAAATACTTGAGAACAAAGTGTATCAATGGCATATGTGGCAAAAAAAACCACACAAAAAATCCAATCTACCTGCCAAAACACCTGCAATCCCCATTCTTTCCATTTCTTGAGACTCTTCTGTCTCTGCTTACTAAGTAGTGCAGGTCAGACATTTTCCAATGTGGCTTGAATGAAGATTGTTGGAGGCCCCAATTCTGAATAGAGACAGCTCACCAAGACAAAGTTTGATATAAAATTTCCCAGTTTTCTAAATCATAGGATTGTACAGTTGGAAGGACCACTATGCTCATCTAGTCCAACCCCTTGCAGGAGTCTTTTGCCCAACATGGGGCTTGAACCCACAACTACGAGATTGAATCTCATGCTCTACTGACTGAGCTATCCCAGTGGGCAAATTTCTTTTCTGTTTTCAGACTGGAGGCTTGATTTACTCTCACACACAAGAAGGTTTACTTTTAGGCCAAGCTAGATGAGATGTTAAATGTATGACTTCAGTTAATTTGTCTTTTTTTCCTTTTCTTTCTTTTTTCTTCTTTTTTTGCTTCTCAATAGCTGCAGTGAGGGTGGGAAAGAATCAGGACTGGAACTGTGGTAAGTGGGTTGAATTATTCCCCCAACATGCAGTCACAATGACAATTTTCCCTGACGCACCATCAGAAGTTTCCTTCCTGGAAACTTTGGGGGATGGTTCATTGGGGCCGTGGCAAGTGGGGTGAACAGAGAAGATAAACCCCTCTCCATGTGCACCAGATCCCTGTGCATACCCCAACAGCCATTATTCAGAAGCAAGAGAACTTGGGCATGGTTAAAATAATTGTTCATTAAGCATCAACATCTATTTTTTTCCTTTTGTGGTAAAAGAGTAAGAATTGCCAGGCCTCAGAAAAGCCCCCACTCCCTGTATTCCTGCAAGTCGCTGACCTGGGCATACTTCCCAATGGGAGCGATGCTAATCTAGAGCAGCAACTCACACAGCAACACAACAATCCTCTTCCTCCAGCAGCAAGTCATTCTGTTCTGGCTCACAAACACACACTCTCTCTCTCTCCATCATGAAAGACTGAACTTTCCTCAATCACCTTTGGTATGGACCCATGGCAGAAGGTGCCCACACCCAGCAGAGGCAAATGAAAAGGAGGTCAGGCCAGAGGAAAAACTCCATGCAGAGAGACACCTCGTCTGTCATGATACTTGGGCTAACCAGAGACTAAAGCCACGAAGCTGCTCCTCTGGCCTTGGTGATTTACGGCATGTATCTTCATAAAATTACTGCCCCAGTCCAGGCAACTGAGAATCTGTGGCCAGTTCTCCTTTCCAAGATGGCTGCCCTGCAAATGTTTTATCCACAGGTCAGTTTATTATAATTGATATTGTTTTAACACAGGCTTTGTTCAAGTTCGCCAAGGCTACAAATACAAGCAGAAACAGGGCAAGTGATGGGGTGGGTGGGGGAGAAAGAAAACCGCAATGCAGATTGCCAATAATAAAATTCTAATCTTGTTTTAGATCAATGGGGTTTTTTAAATAATAACCCACCCCCCACTAAATCACAATTGGTTGACTCCAAGATACTGTCACTCCACAATACAGGCCATGCTGTGATATATTAAGCTTAGTGGAGAAGAAGGAAAATATCTCAGCGGACATTAAAGAGGCAAGGTATTCAGAAGTGTCAGCCTCACACTGGCTTGTCTGAACCATAAAACTGTGCAAATGCAGACTTTTAACATGCCAGCGTAAAATTTATATGAAGGTAAGAAATTAGACCAATATCACCAGAATGGGCTGAACTGATTTGTGCTTTAATTTGAAGCTAATAAAGACAGGATAAATTAATCAAACAAGGGAGGAAATTCCAAGGAGCATTATTCATTTTTAAATGTTCCTGCCATTCCTTACATACTTTCTTGTAAAAAATAAAATAAAAAGGAAAGTCAGAATGCTTCAGGAGCATCTGATACATCTGAGGTGCTACAGGAAAACATGCCCATGTGCAGGGGGGGGCATTGCCAGACTGAGAGCCACATTTCCTCATTGGGCTGCCTGCCAGGGGGAGAGCGGGGGCCAAATTCAGAAGTGGGCTGAGCAACTGTTATGGCTCTTACTTTTCTGCAGTAGACTAGTTTGCAGCCACACAAAAGCCACACATGTGTCTACAGACACGTTTCTCCATCCTCTATTCATGCAAGCTAGGGGCGTTACTACAGTTCAAGTTACTACATTCCAGCCAGGCAAAAGCTTTCAAGGAGAGCAGGGCCAGGGAGGAATTTCGCCTGAGCAGAGTCCCAAAGGGAAGATAAAGAGTACCTCGCTCTGGCCCAAGACTCTTGTGAATCTTGGGAGAAGAGTGATTCGTCCATTCCTACCCAAGTTGTATCACATGTTCATCCACAAGTAGATTCCATCCCATTTCTACATTAAACTGAGATTTACACACACACACACACACACACACCTCAAAACACCCCAGGCTTCGTGCAGATATCGCGCTGTGCCATCCCGCTGTTCCCCGACCTGGTTTGGAGGCTGGCGCTGGGAGAGGCGCGCTTCTCCCCAGCGCCAGCCCCACAAGCTCGGGAGACAGATATCCGCAAGCCTGGGGAGACCGGCGCAACTTCCTGCCGGGCTCCCTAGGCTTGCGGATAGCAGCCTGTTCTGGGGGCTGGGGTCAGGGGAAGCTTGGGCATCCCCTGCCCCAGCCCCGTGCCTGGGGGGGAAATAATTTTTTTCCCCTTTATTTCCCCCCAAAAAAACTAGGTGCATCCTATGGGCCGGTGCGCCCTATGGGGCGAAAAATACGGTAATATACCTAGTTTTATAATTACACTAAAAGCACAACCCTTGGGGATACAGTACAAGGCAACATTCCTTAACTGGCTAGTTTCCACATGCAGACCTCTCTGTTCCTTTCAGGCAACCACATGGCATTGCTGGAGTTCAGGGACACATTCCAGGCAGGCAGGAAACACTCAAGGAGGGTGTGAAACTGGACCAGTGAGGGGTGAGACCTAGGGGCAGCTCCAAAGGTCAGATACAGGGGCCTGGAAGGTCAGCTTGGGGCCACAGACCCCAAAGGGCAAAGGATGCTGCTAGGCACGAATGCCATCAGCTTTGGGGCTTTTTGGGGATGTGAGGGCATTGGTTAGCTTATGCTCACTTAAAAGTTTAAATGAACTGTTGATTTTTAAGTATGTCACAGCAATATTACAATATTTACTATACCCTGTAGTGGTTATGTACGGACTGCTCATCTTATGTGAACCACGCTGAACACACGTGAATTTGTCGGAAATGCAGCATGTCCAAAAAGTAACTTTCCTATAAAGTGCTTTTCAGTTTACGGCCACCAAACCTCACAACCTGCAAAACTACTTTCTCCACTTCTCTCCATGGGTGCAAACAAAAATCAAGTGTGCTAGAAAGGCCGTGGAGGCAGAACGAGAAGTTGGGTTTTCAGAGCAAGCAGAACGGCTTGGGCCACACTTTGTGCTTGCCTGTGCGGCTTCTGTTCCAAAGAGGCTAATGAATCATCGTAATATGACAGCCCCTCTTATGACACTGAGCTGGATCAGTCTGCTTTCCATTGTTTCCCTTGGATGGATCTGTCATATTAGGTCCTGGGAGGAATACAAAAATTGTGTAGAAGGGAAGGAAAACCCTTTACATTTCCTAAGGGTAATATTGTTTTCCTTCTATGCAAAACAATTTAGCCTACCTTTCAGAAAAATGACATCAATTCCATGCATGCTTCCTTCTTTTAAGGGGGTTTAAAAAAAAACCTTTGCTTCCTTTTTCCAACCACTTTCCTGAGATTCTTTGGGAGCTTGAAAGACAACCCCAAATCAAATGATAATATTTACGGATATGCATTTAAAAAACAAAAACAAAAGCCAATGTACCCATCCTGGAGGTATGCAAGTGTTACTCAGCTTACAAAAGGGAAACCCAAAGCAGCTTTTTCCAGACCTCAGAAAGAAATTTGCTTAGAAATTCAACATCTTCATAATATGTCTGTACAGTAGTACCTCGGGTTAAGAACTTAATTCGTTCCGGAGGTCTGTTCTTACAATTCCCATTCCCATTAATAAACTACTGCTATAGTCAGTGTTGGGTTGTTGTTGTTGTTTACTTGCACAGAATTTTGTTTTGAATTGGGAGCATTCAAAAAGGGGAGAGACACGCACAGTTCACCGGCAATCTCCCCTACCACCAAATTCTGCTGCATGTTTAAGATCAAGCCACAAACAGCTACTTAAGATTCAACAGGATAAAAGCAAAAGCAAAGTGGTTATCAAAAGGGACGGAACATAATGAACATTTTTAGTGCCTTGGTCTTAGGTGAATCTATAAGATATGTGCTGGCTTGCTCCGAGACCTGAAGCTGTGTGGATGGGTAAGAGAGGAATCCCTGGGGGAGTCCAGCCTCACATGTGCCAGAACGGATGCTACACGGGTGGGTGTAATAACTGACAGAGTAGGTGATCTATTCAGAAAAGTTTCTGACAAATGCAGTTGGGTGCCTTGTGCGAGTGCATTATTCACACAGTTTCATAATCCAGTTCAAGGATGATTACATTCTACTTTTCATCTCTAGTGATGCTCCCATTATGCAGACAGCATGTATGAAGTGTCACAGCTCATATAAAATTGTGCCAGGTCGCGCATAATCATTGGCGGCAAAAAGTCTCGTCCTTTCGCTTGCCTAGAATCTGTGGCTTCGCCGGTGACCTTTATGACTAGAGACAGTGTCTTTGAAACACTGCTCTCCCTATGCCACTTTACAAAAAGCTTCAAGAATTATTCTGAGTCAGATTAAAATGCCAACTGGAGGGGGGCAGAGTAAGAGCCCCTGCTACAATAAAAGCATTTTTATTGCACACTGAAAGCATGTAACATTGCACCACAATTGCTGCAGGAAAACTGGAGTTGTAAAAGTTCTCAGTCAGGTTCAGAATCCAACCTCAAGAGCCTCGTAAAGCACAGACCTCAAAAGGGAGCTTTACAAGCACCAAATCTTCTCTACCCTGAACCCCTAATCCCAACCCTCCTGAAGGTATATGAATTTTGGAATCTGATCTCTCTACTTGAGAACAAACCTCCACCTAAGAAATTAAATTCCACAGAGCATGGTGATACAGTGACTTCAAAAATGGCACCGTTGGTCTAAGTCCACACCTAAAAAGGCAGGGAATAAATACTGGATGTAATACTGGATGTTTTATGCTTCTGATTACCAGGAGGGAAGATGCTGCTCTTGTGATCACGTCCTGCTCACGGGTTTCTCACAGTGATCTGGTTGACCCCTGTGAGAGCAGGATATTGGGCTAGATGGGCCATTCGCCCGATTCAGCAGCCTCTTCTTATGTTCTTACTTTAAATTAAGGGTTTAGCA